TTAGAAACCTAAGCTATGATATCACTACCTTACTCCTGTCCAAAAAATTGATTAAAGGCATTATTCATCTTAAGCAAAATGTTAAGTCATGGAGAATCTTAAAAATTGTCAGTATATTTTTTCATCTCAATTTGCATTCATAAATTTAATAATCAATCATTAGTTGAAACGAAAAGGCTAATTTTAATCTTAGTTACTTTATCTGCTAACTCTTCCTATTTCCCCTGATGTTTACTTTTTCTAATCAAGACTCAAAAATATGTTGCTAAACATAAAAAGAGATTTTTAAAAACTCTAAAAATTATGATTATATAATACAAGAACTTCCCATTTCCTAGAAAATTAGCAAACTAACATATAGAAATAATTTGTATTTCCCAGAAGGAACTTAATGTGAATGTTTCTTTCCTTTTTTTTGTCAAGACCTTTGTAATTCAGAATGTCTAAAAAATGAGGAAATAAAGTTAAGTGTCAGGCGATATGCTAGTGGAAGAGAAAAGGACAACAAGGCATACCAAAGGATTTTCTATGTTAGTGAGACAGCCAAGTATGAATGTAGGCAACTTTAACGCACTAACACACCGAGGACCAGTGACAAGTGTTAGAAGCAAGCATGCTAGGGAGAACACAGGGCACAGACAGCACCATTCTGGCCAGGAGGACTGGGGATGCTTCAAATAAGGAGATGTAGCCCTAAGGCATTGTTCCTAGGGAAGGGGGGAACATGGAGCAAATTCATCCAAATCACTTATTGCTGTGTGCTCAAAGTACAGATTGCTGGGGCCCATCCCAGATTCCTAAATCAGATCCTTAGGTGATGAAGCCTGGGAATCTGCTTGTTCTAACCACCATTCCAGTTGAATGCAAAGGGGCCATGGACCATATTTAGTCACCTTAAAATTACAAGTCCTAATGAAGAGATATGGTAAAGAAAAATCCTGGCAGAGGCACTACATGAAGAGAGCCATGGGAGGAGAAAATCAGGGTATGTGTGTGGGAATAGAGAGGTTACAAGGTATGTTGAGCATCCTAATGAAAGACATTGTTGGAATCATAGGTAAGCTTGCTAGTCTTGACTCACACAAAGAGGTTGAACTCTGTTCTGGAAGCAATGGAGAGTGATCAAAACTTTCTGAGCAAACTCATGCTGTATTTGAACAAGATGACCTTGGAGTCCAAGTAAGAGGTACTGGAACAATAAGGAAAGAAAAGGAGGAGGAAAAGAGGGAATGAATGCAAGACATGTTATAGAGGTAAGAAAGTCAGGACTTGGGGATCTGCTGTATGTAAGTGAACAGAAGAAACCGACAATGACTTTGAGGAAAATTTTAAATAAGCCAAGTGCCTTCTCAGCGTTCAACACTATGCCATGCACCACTGAGCATCCAAAATTATGAAAGTCATTAATTCAATATAATAATTGAGCATCCACTACACGTGCCAGGTACTATCAACAATGCTGAGGATGCGCCCAGGACGAAAATCCCTGTCCTCCAGGAGCTTAGAACTAGATCTCATCTTGTTCCTCTTTTCTTGTGTCTCTATTTTTTTTTAATGGAAAAAAGTACTTCTGGAACCTATCTCTTTGACCTTGAGGACTTCACTGCTCCTAAAGCTCTAGCTGGCTCACGTCAAGAACACGCAGGTCTTCATCCTGAGTACTTTTATCTAGATGCTTTTAATGACAAAGAAATACTTAGGCATGCTTTCTCAACTATGATCCCATGACAAACTTGATATGAAACTTTAAGATGTGAACTTCCAAATTCAAAAAATGTCAGTTAAGCCCAACTTCAATTAAACAGACTTGGGGTAAATACAGAACTTTCCCACAGAGAACTTTTGGGTACATACATAGCTATTCGTTTATTCATTCAATTTGTACTGCACGCTTATTACAAGTGGATGTTTCTTCCCTGACCTGGAAGAACGAATAAGAGCCTGAGAAAACAGTGGAAAGTACAGTTAGTTGAGAAAATGAACTAAGAAGAATGGAGAAAAAGCAATACTTAAAAACAGGAGGGAGGGTGAAGGGAGATGGGAAGGGATACGTAGAGGAACTCATGCAAGCAGTCTACCAAAAATAAAATAACAAATACTGACCGAAGGACAAAAACTAACCAGAAATCTGGGAATCGGATGGAGGTCACTTGTCAAGTTAAATTCATGGTTTTCAACATATAATGCTGCCAGCTACTCAATTTTAATAATAATGTGAGATAGTCCCTTTTAGAAATGTACAAGTTACTTGAAAAGCACATATAAGGGAACTATACAAGATAGTACATAATCAGGAGCTAGTTGAATAAAAGACAGATATAAGAGGTTGTTTAAAAAAAAAAGAAAAGAAAGAAAGAAAATAGCCGTAACTCAGAAAAAGAGATTAAGGTATCACTTTTATAAAAAGCTATCAGGAACACTTTTCTAGAATTTTTAGTAGTCAAGATTTCTTCTGAGTACAAATAGTAACAGCAAAGACTGTTGGTTGTACATCATTCTGTAGCCACACCCATAAATGTAGATCGCTTTAATGTTGGTGACATCATCAAACAACTTCCTAAGCAGTTTTACTTTTAACTGTCACTTTATTTTAACCATATTACAGTAGAACTCTTAACTATCTCCAAATTGCACAGTCTAGATTACTATCCACTATTGGTATTTTTCTGGTCTTTGGCAAATAAAACCCAGATTAAAATCAAAGCACTCACAATTAAATTACAAAACGCTTGATTAAAAATCTGTTTCAATTATTAGTTTTGTATCTTTAACCTGGATTGGATACTTTCTTTTCTATCCTTTCTTCAATGCTGTGTAATAGCTACTAAATATTTTATGGGTAGTCTTGTTTAAGACAAAGGGGAAAAGTAAATGTAAAATAAATTCTGGGTGCTTCCTATGTGAAACAAAGGTACAAAAAATAACTAAGATTATTTTGTTTTTTCAGAAGGACATTTTATAAATGTGGTTAGGAGCCTCAGAAACACACACATGCAATGCAAATATATAAAAAGCATATTTACTGTTAAATGTTAAGGATTTTAATCTCTCTCTATATATTAAATTAACCTGTATCATAAAATGAGTACCTCCAAAGACTAAACAGCACATTTGAACAACTAGATTCAGTTACTAAATTATTATTCCAAGAGTAAATGGTCAGTTTTTAAGAAGGATGAAGACAGTTGCTATGACTGGGAGGAAATTATTAAAACAGAATAAAATTAGAAGAAAATATCTAAGAAAATCATTATGACCTCACTTTCAAAAAGGAAGAATGACCTATTAAATAGAATAGCTTTACCAAATCTGTGGAGTTTACCTTATTTTTATCTTGCTTAGTAAAAAGGTTATCCATAGCAGCCCAAATTTCTGAAGCTACAATTTTGGAGAGATATATTAAATTGTGGATGTCAGTGAAAAAGTGTGCTAAAATCAGATACAGGTTGAATATCTCTTACTCAAAATGCTTGGGAGCAGAAGTGTTTTGGATTTTGGATATTTCCAGATTTTGCATATATATAATGGTATGTCTTGGGGGAGGGATCCAAGTCTAAACACAAAATTAATGTATGTTTCATATACACCTCAGACACATACCTAAAGGTAATTTTATTATATTTTTACACATACTCATTATAGGCCAGAACATTCTAGGCCTGTCACTAAACCTCTGTCTGTTCATCCATTTTCAAAAAATTTTGGAGTTTGAAGCATTTCAGAGATTGGACTTTTGGATTAGGGATGGGCAACCTGTGTTACTGAATGTCATTAAAACCACATTTTAAAAGAGCAAATCTCTTACCAATTGAAATTCTCGACGCCGGTCGTAGGCATTCTGTATGCCGCTGTCTGCCCATAACGCTCTTATAGCAGGAAGATATTGTAAAAAAACCCGCGTTTCCACCAATCCCTGGGCTGCCATGGGGGCCCGGGTGTCAAATGCCATCATCTTGTCGCCATTGAGTTGGTTTGAGTTATCTCCCCAAGGAATATGAAGCTTCTCTCGAGCATCTACCAGCACCCTCATACCTTTGTTTAAAAAGAAAAAGAAAAAGTGTGGGGAGGAGTCATTAGATAGTACCACACATTTTTACTCCAGTATTATCCTTAAACTTCTGAATTACTCCAGGCCACATCATCCAAAAATGGAGACCAACATCAAAACAAACACTCACAACTTCTCAGAGGTTAAAAAAGCTAACAGTTGCTCACTGTCTTAAAATTAGAGCCTTGAAAAGCAAATACTATTAACACAATTGCTCTTTCTGAAGGATTTTAACATATTCCAATTTATAAAATAATTTCTGGGATAGAAGGTGGTCAAAAAAGAACCAAACAAGGGAAGGAAAAAGAAATCATGCTGCACAGCCCAATGTCCAGGCTCTGAAGAAAACGGTTACAATCAAGATTTTAAGAGCTTGTCTAAAAGACATTTATTTATGAAACACTAAGAACCGAACATTATAACTCTGCATTCTGCTTGTTCCCTCAGCACCCTAGCACCAACATTAAGTCTTCTAGGAACACAATGAAGACTCAAAAACTTTTTCCGGCCCAAGTTTCAAATCAGTGTAAGTCACAGGATGGCTTTAGATTTCCCTAAAAGGAAGACCGACTGCAAAATGATATAAAAACAGACTCCAACTCACAGAGGTTAGTTCAAACTCAATTATTTCTATCACTAACTAAACTGTGACCCTCAGTCCGTGTTGTCACGTGGCTATTAGGAAGTCATTTGAATAACTGAAAAAATGTTTTGCTGTCAATTTTCCAATCATACCAACTCGAAAAAACTAGGTGTCTAGTGACTTACTTCATCTCATAATCAATGCTCAAAGTAGGTCACACTTAGGACCCAGTGTACATTAAGATCTAAGTGTTTACCTGGCTCACAATCAGCATGTTGACTCTATTCATTAACATAATTCCTTAAGTTCAGCTGCATCAGGATACAAAGGTACCTTCAATTAAGGGCTAACAAGGCAGGGTCTGTGGCCTTGAAAGAGACCTTAATTAGTTTTGTGCTAAATGGTAAGGCAGGATAACTATATCTGTTCTTTACAGTTTAACTGCAGAGGTGCTAGGGCTGAGAGCTGGCTGTGGCCTGTGAGCTCCTGGCCTGGCATTCTTCTCCAGTCATTACCCCACAATGCCTCCTCCTCCAGGCAGGCAGTTTTTCTCCACCCAAACTCTGGGAGGAAAAAAAGCAACATGAATGCATTACTTATGTACTTCTTGAACAAAAATCCCACTTAAAAAAACACTGCTTGAAAAGACCTGCAATCTGTAGCAAACTCCTAGATAAACTGCTCCCCAGATAAAATAAAATCCTGATGCACCTTAAGTACCAGGTGCTGGACCTCAATTTTGCCAAAATGCCTTTTCTGTAGAACATTACCACTGAGAAAAATGAGTGCCAATTATCTTTCAAATGACAAAATAAAAACCATCTTCTTGATTTCTGTGAATGCCCAGAAATAAAGACCTTCTGTATTTTTCACTTTAAGAACAAAGTTTAATTTTGAAAATACAAGAGCAGAACCTATTAACGAACCCAACACTGATTCACTGACTCCACCCGTACAGGAGCCGCATGACTTTTAGGCCAAAGAGTCTTCATATCACTACACAATTTCCTCTAAACAGAAGCGAGTAGTGGTACCCCCCTCCTTCCCGCCCCTAGTCACTTAGCAAAAAGGAGAGTGGAACGTGTTGCACAATGATTATAGAGAAACATGTTACCTGACCGTGACACTGGGGCGAAAAACCACTGATGCTATTTTTTTTTACAGTAACTATACGGGTCTACTCTTTCCTGATGCCAGTGTAGTAAACCTGACACCCTCCAGTTTCATATCCTGGCCCAAAAGGGCCCCAGAGGCTGTCACTCTACGCCTTTGACAAGAGTCTTCAGGCAAAAAGTTTCCTTACTGCGACGGTTCCAGAACTCCCTTGCTCAGGAGGCGGCCAAGGAAGCAGGGAGTTGGGAGCACATCGACCCCATGTGACTCGGGTCACCCACCCTGGGCAGCGAGGTTCGACATACAGCGCCCTGGCGGGGGATGCGGGTGTAGGGTCTGCTGCCCTAGGGTCTTCCTCCTGCCTCATCTGCAGGGAGGAGGACAGGAGAGGTCACCCCGCACCGAGAGGCACCGGGCTCGTCTCACTTCCCTCTCGGAGGGGGCGACACCGGGATGGGGTGGGGGCTGGGGAATGACTATGATTCCCACTGGCGCGACAAGAGGGAAAGCGGGGCGCCCCGGGGCATCCTTTCACCTGCGGGGCGAGGACACCCGGGCAGGCAGGACCGGTGCCCGGGGCGCGCCCCCTTCCCGCCCGCCGCCGGGCCCTGTCCTCCGCCAGGGACACAGCGGACGAGGGCGGTGCCCAACCCCACACCCGCCGCCGCCGCCCCCGGTCCTCGGTGCCCCAGCCTCGGCCCCGACCCGGGCCCCGGCACCTTTGATCACGTTGCTGTAGATGGTGGGGCGGAACTCCTCGCGCGCGCGCTGGTCGAAGTCCTGCCCGTGGATGATCCGCATCTGCTTCAGGAAGGTGGACTTGCCGCTCTCGCCCGCGCCCAGCAGCAGGATCTTCACGAGCCGCTTCACGTAGGTCTTCTCCCGCGACAGGCATTTGTCGATCTCTTTGGACTTGCGCTGCTGCTCGGCCTCGCCGCTCGTCAGCAGGCAGCCGGGGAAGCACACGGACAGCACGGACCGCGACGGCAGGAAGTCCGCCATCTTGCCGCCGCCGCCGCCGCCTCGGCGGGCCCCTCCGGCTCCCTCCGCCTCCTCCTCGGGCGGCGGGCGGCTCCGGCTCCGCGGCTCGAGGGCGGGGAACGCTGCGGCGGCCCGAGCGCGCCCGGGGAGGGAGGGAACCAGCGAACTGACTCGCAGGGCGGGCCGCGCAGGGCGGGCCAGGCGAGCTGGGGAGGGAGGGAAAGAGGGAGGGCCCGAGAGGGGCGGTGGCCCCGGGGCGTGCGCGCCCCCGCTGCCTCCCGGGAGCGCGCGCGTAGGCCGCGGTCTCTCTTTCCCCCGCCTCCCGCCCTGGGCTGGCGAGTCACGCGCTCGCTCTCTAGCTCGCGTGCCCGTAGCCGCGGCCGGCCGCGCGCTGGGAGGGCCCGGGAGCCGCGGTCACGTGGGCCGGGCTGGCGCACGCTTGCAATTAGCTGCGCCCACTTCTGGGCAGAAGGGCCCCCTCCCCGAGCCCTGGAGGCCGGAGGCTGGGTCCCCGACCCTGCTCTTTGGGCTCCCGCCGCCTTTTCTCCTGAGTTGCGCGCCCGCTGCCAGCTGTCACCGTCCCCGCGACTAACTTCGGGCCACTGGCTCGAAAGTTATTCGAACAGCCGGCGCAAGCCTGGCAGGTTTTTGGTGCATTTTCTTAAAGTGACTCCCTTCACATTCTACTCTCCCAAGCCCAGAACGATAACCAAACGTCGTCAATGCCCCCTTCTTCCAGCTCTTTTTGGCATTTTCAGACCCCTGCAAGGGCCCTCCTTTGTGGAATAAAGAACTGGAGTTGATGTTCTTTTTTTTTTGCATGGCTTTTCTTAACTGCTTATGGAGTTGATGTTCATCTGAGGCGGACTAGAAGGGTTGTCAATATCTCACTAATGTGGATTGCCACCCTAGCTGCGCCGTGACTTTGGTAACGCTGATCAGTGAATGGTAGCAGCAGGAGGGTGAGGTCATGGTGAAAATCCCCCTAACCGGACACTGTGATGTAGGCTCTTCCCAACAAGGAAGCAGATAAGCAAACAGAACGAGGACGGGAGCAGGCAAATTTTAGGTTTCCTGCCAGATTACAGAGGATATGACCAGCCAAGGGACTTTTTTCTGTCCTAATGGCAGATTCAGGCCAGGACACCTGAAAGGGCTGCCAGGAGACAAGCAACAAGTGACAGCTGGGTTGGCAGAGAGACAGCGCAGCCACATCCCCGGAAGCTGACTTCTTCATTCTTAGTATTTAGTTTCAAGTGGAAAAAGCCATTTTAGTCTGCCTCTGTCTTTGGCAATGCAACATAATGCTTCTTGCTTTGGGGGTCTGTGGCTGAGAATCAACTTCTTATGTGTTCGGGAGTTGGGGTAAGAGGTCAACAGTCTGAGAGGCTCATGAATGGGTTTAAATTTGAAAATCAGTGCTAATCAGTTACTGTCTAGGGGTGGGTTAATGACTGAGAAGCCTCTTGCCTCAGTAAATTGGCTTCGGTAAACAATGCCTGTAGTAGGATTATCTCGTGTTGCTCTGGCCAAGCCCATAGGGTGAACAGTCTACACTATGCAAAGCAGAGTAGGTTCACGTCCAGTATGTGTGGATCCATAGGGTCAGAATCACTGGGCAGTGCCATCAGGCAGAATGTTTGGTAAAAGTTTACCCCTGATGGAGGCTCTCTCTATAGTCTCAACTAGTGTTAGGAAGGCCCTGTTTTCTAACCATGAAAGAACTAGCTTCTGCCCAAGACCCGGGTGTAGCACCAGCCCCCACACACTGCTTCTACATTGACCCCAGGTGCTAATCTGAACTCCAGCAAAGACAGAGGAGGGAAGCCTGTAAGTCAGGTAGTTAACATCTTTTTCCTTTTTTTCAAAAGTGTGTGCAACATATGGAAAACCAAGAATGCCTAAGAGACAGGAAGGTATTCCTGCCCGGCCAGTTCATGTTATGACATGTAGAGTAGCAGTGAAAGCTGTTCAGAGCCCTGCATGTAACCTTGCCTTGGAACAAGCTTGACTCAGATGGAGCCCGGCTGCCTTAGTCAGTGTTTCTGAAAAAGAGACCTCTTTGGATCCGACCTGGGGTTTTACTGCAGCTGTCTAACTTCTTCTAAGTGGGGAACAAGACACCTTATAAACTGTAAGCATAAAAATGAGTTATAGGTTTGGTGGTTCCTCAAAAACTTAAACATAGGATGAGTAAATTCACATCTGACGGGTACAATGCACACTATCTGGGTGATGGACACACTTATAACTTTGACTCAAACTGTACAAAAGCAATTTATGTAACCAAAACATGTGTACCCCTGTAATACTCTGAAATGAAAAAAAAACTTAGACATAAAATTGCTGTATGACCGAGCAATTCCACTCCTGGGTATACCCAAAAGAATACTCAAAAGATTGAAAACAGGTGTTCAAACCAAAACTTGTACACCGTGTTCATGGCAGCACTGTCGTGAATAGCCAAAAGGTGAGAACAATCCAAATCTTCACCAACAAATGAGCGGATAAACAAAATGTGACATATCCATGCAGGGGAATTATACAGCCATAAAAAGGAATGAAGTACTGATACATGCTCCAGCATGGATGAACTTTGAAAATAGTATCCTAAGTGAAACAAAAGGCTACATATTATAAGATTTCACTTATATAAAATGTCCAGAATAGGCAAACCCATAGAAACAGAAAGCAGACTAGTAGTTGCCAAGAGCTGAGGGCGGAGGGAAGAATGGGGAGTGACTGTTTAATGTGTACAGGGTTTCTTTTTGGGGTGAGGAAAATGTGTTTTGCAACTAGGTAGTGATGATGGTTGCAGAACATTGTAAATGTACTAAATAAATGACACTGAATTGTACACTTTAAAATGGTCACATGATGAATTTTATCACAATAAAAAAATGATTTAAGGAAAAATATTTTCCGTAAAAAGTCATCGGCATCATTTAACATTGAAGTGCCCACAGTGTGTAACACTCAATGACTGAAACTGCCATTGTGTTTATTTTTAAATAATACTAACAATGTAAATTATTTGCATCAGAAGCAAATTTAACAGTTGCTTCAGGTTACATTGTGATAATGTTAGTGATAATTTAATTTTCAGATAGATTGTTTTGTAACTGAGAAAAAAATCTAAACTTTGTAAGGGAGTATAGAGTCTATTGGTTAGAATATTGCTGGATGCTATATTTCCTTCAGGCCCAGATATTAACTCATTGGAAACATCTGTATTGTTGCGAGACAGTTAATCCGTATGGAAATGAAGGATTCAGATGCTCTGTGGAGCTGTGATAAAATGATTGGAACAGTTGATTAGTTGCAATGCTCTTTTCCTTCTGGAAACTCGAAGTCTAATGGCAAGCAGTCTTGTAAGATAAATAATGAAAAGTATGACTAAAAATACATTTCCAAAAGGCTTTTCTCTTCTTGCCACCTTAGTAAAAAACTCTTTCCAACAATACTGCCATACTTGAAATCTATTTGTAACTCTTCCGTTGGAACTGAAAGAAAGATAGATTTCTATCGTATAACCACAGTTTAGTTTCAATTTAAAAATGGTATTAGCTTATTTACCAATCGTGCCAAATAACTTTGGGCTGTTTACAAAAATCAGAATTACTCACAAAGGACAAAAATGTGTCACCCGTAGACATATTCAAAAAAATGTGCCAGAGGCTCTAGGAACAGTTCCAAAAGAGGAGTTAAAAATTTTTTTTGATAGGAAATATAATTTAAATAAGTGTTTCCCCTGCCAAAGTGACTACTCACTACTTGGGATGGGACAACGCCCATTTAGATGTGTTTATTTAAAAATCAGTCTCATTACTTGATGGTTAAACCTTGTGTTAATTTTCTAATAAGGATGATGACACATCCAGGGTTCTTATTACACAACTCTCTTCTGCCTCATCAGGATATAAAATGAACGGATTCTGATACTTTCTTACAGATAAAACAGGCATGGATTTTTCTTACCTTCCTTCCCCACAGGAAAGGAAGGGAATTCCCAAGCCCACCCAAAATACAAATCCCTTACATTTGTGTAATGTTTTAAATGCCTAAAAGCACTTTGACCGACTTTATCTCATGCTCTGCTCACAATAGCCTGACTAGGAAAACCCAGAATTAACCTCACTCCCATTGGGCAAGAAAGGTTGTTTTGTATTTTGTTGATCAATTGATTGGTTGATTGATTGACAGGGTCTTGCTGTCACTCAGGCTGGAGTGCAGTGGCTCGATCATAGCTCACTGCAGCCTTGAACTCCCAGGCTCCTCAGTAGCTGAGACCAGAGTCGTGTGCCAGGCTAATATTTCTTTCTTTCATTCTTTTTTTTTTGTAGAGACAGGGTCTCCCTATGCTGCCCAGGCTAGTCTTGAACTCCTGTCTTCAAAGAATCCTCCCACCTTGGCCTCCTGAAGTGCTGGGATTACAGGCATGAACCACCATGCACAGCCAAGAAAAGTTTAAATGATTCTCTCAAAGCCTCACTTGCTGTGGCCAGTTGCAGAGCTGGGACTGGAAGCTCCCTATTTTGACTCTTAGTCCAGTGCTCATTCTGATATGCCAAAATTGTCGTAGTGCCTAGAATGCCCCGGTGTATGAAGTTCAAACTGGAAGCAAGTAGCTAACTGTACTTAACCTCCAGGCACCATAGAGTTCAGCACTTTTGTGTGTTCGTTAGTCTGTTTTTCCAGCCCCTTTCAGCCTAGCTGCCATCTTGAAGTTTCCCAGCTCTTGGGCTGATTCTGGTAAGACGTTCTATCAGGCTTTGGTTTGTAAAACGTTCCAGGTGGCTGATGGAGAAATAGAAGGAATCAAGCTTATTTGTTTGTTCGTTTGTTGTTTATATGGTGTGTAAGCCCCACACATTCTTCACAAGAAGAAAAGGCAACTCTTTTGGTAATGAAATTTGATGTGACCCTTACCAGAATAAGCCTCTCATGTGGAAAGTTTCATATGAAACTAGACATATGGAATTGAATTGATGGTGGTTTTGTTTGTTGTTAATAATGGAAAACATGACTTTAATTATTGGTTGTATTTTTCTCAGCGTCCAAAAAAGATCCGTGAACTGCTGTGGACCAGCTGAGCCCTCAGCTCCCGAAAAGTCTGAAGCTGGCACTGTCTTAAAGACACACACTGTTACTCATGCAGCTCTTCCACCTTGCTGACCGCATCAGACCCATTTAAGGGCACTCTGTTTACATAACGCTAAGCACA